CAATAATGCATCATACATCATACATGTCCAATCCACCATCATGATCAATATCATCCTCATATGAACATACACACATGTCATATCATGTTTAAACATTCATATATATATCACCACCAAGCATACATATGAATCATACATCACCATACATCATATATCATACATACATGATCAAATCTTCAACTTTAAACATGTATAAGCATCATTTACAATCAATACTTCTAAACATACTCACGCCCGGCACAGCCATCTCGCGCCCGGCCTAACATCCAACCCGAGAGCTCTAAGGCTCATTCATGCTCGACGCAATCAACTTACGCCCGGCTTCATTCAAACAAAGACTCACGCGAGTCTCCATGCCCGGCTCGCTTACCCTGCGCCAAATCAAATAGAGACCTCCAAGGGTCTCCACGCCCGGCGCACCCACCCTGCGCCCGGCGCCATATCAGTAAAATGCCCAACAAGGTCACTATTTGATATCACGCTCGACATGATTCTCTTCACGCCCGGCGTGACTCATCCAGAGACTCCCATCTAAATTCGCACCCGGCGTGGATTTAAAATGGTTTCCTTTGATGAATGCACGCCTGGTGCCAAGAACATGCGTCCGGTGCAAATTCAAACAGCAACCTCCTAAACTTCGAAAATTTCATAAAAACCTGAAAATCAGAAAATTTCCACCACATGCAATCCATGCAATATAATACTTAAACCCCATAAAATTCAAAAACGTCCCTAGATTTAACATGCACCCACCCGATGCATCAAAATCACCAAAAATCCCATTTTTTCCAAAACCCGGAAAACGAGCACTTTCTCCAATCCAACCATGGACTCTCAAAACCAATGCACCAATTGAGTTCCTAAACTTATATGCAACCAAACAACATACATTCTAGCTTCCCTCACCTGAAGATTGACTCAAGGTAGCCAAGAACTGAGAAGAAGAATTTCTTTTCGAAGCTCGACTCGTGAACTTCAATCCTCCAAAAGCAAGCTTCCTAGCCTAAATTCCAAGAGAAGACAGAAGAGATTAGAAATCTAGAAGAAAAGAGGAATCAAACAGAGAAATTTGGGAGAAAAAGAAGTTCACGGACCCAGAGTCCTTCTCTCTAAAACTTCTCTCTAAGTTTCTTTGAGAATGAACTTATGAAATTTCATTCTCAGATAAACTCTTATATACTCTTCTCTCTAGAGTTAACTAAACTCTAAAATCTACTTACTACGTTACAATTACAAAGACATGATACATATTATTGAATCACATTTAAAATTATTATTAAAATTAAGCATAATTATATGTCAAATAGATATCGATTTATATTTATATTATATATATAACGATAGTGATAATTTTTTTGTATGTATCATTATATATAATATTTCTTTTAGTATTATTTAACATAGTGAATTGACTTTCAGTGAATTTAAACCGGTTTTGAACTAGTTCAATGTAGAACCGGTTTTAAACCAATCTCCATAATAGAACCAGTTTTTCTATAAATCAATTTAGACCAGTTTTCCAACTTTTAATATTTTAGTCTTCGGACTTTGAAATATTTTTGAATTTATATTATAATTGTTTCTTTTTTATATTAATTTATATTTTAAATTTTCTGCTAATTTTCTTTAAGTACCTTTAACATGCATAAAATTTACCGACAAAAACTAAATAAAAGCAGACTCTCACTCAACTTAATATTTGGTATGATAATAAAATAAAAATAAAAATAAATCAAAAGAAGCACACTAGATTCACATCCCTAACGGAAGGAAAAACACTTCAAAGTAAAACAAATAATTATTAGATTTAATGGTCATGGGTAATCACAACAATTCACATAAATAATACTTTGTTAACTTTTACAGTAATTACTTTAAAATTTCTACAGATTGTGACTTCTGATAAATTAACTAAAACTTTTTATACCATACTGCATGATCATCAAACCATCAAACCATAATTATTATAGTATGTAAAATATGTATAAAAAATAAATATATATCAGGATCATGACTAAGGTAAGATCAATGAGATCATTGTCTAAGTCCCCGACCCAAGTTCTTATTTTTTTATATTTTAAAAATAATTAATTTCATTTAAATAATTAAATAATATATTTTACTATAATTAATTTGTTAATATATAAAATCATACAATTATTTAAAAATTATATAAATACACACATAAATATTATTATAAAAATATTAATTTGAGAAATTTTATTATAATTTAAAAATTATTTTACTTTTTTTGAATTTCAATAAAAAAAATGGTATTGAAAATGAATATAAGGATTAATTTCTATAAAAATAATATGATCTATATGAAAATGATAGTGATAAGATCATAAGAATATCATGCTAAGTTGGTTCATCTAAAAAATATATTTTATAATTTTACTTATTTTGTATAAATATCAAATTATTTTATTTTATTTTATTAACACCATATTAGAAAATACTTTAAAATATGAAATCACTTTAAGAAAATTATTTTAATTTGATCAATAAATAATTTTTTAAAAATAAATATTGTCTTAATTTTATATTAGTTATCATGAATTTTTTTCTCTAATTTGAAATTTTTTTAAAGCAATACTAACAAAAACAAGTTAGTGTTCCATTAGAAACATTAAACTATATTAAAAAATTAATTGGTTAAATGTGTACCGTATATGTTTATAGAATACACTACAAAATAGTGATTAAATGAATTATCATTGAGTGAGAAGTTGAAATTTCTTAATTATTAAATTTAACTAACAATTTTATTAATTAAAAATAAAAATAAAAATTATTTAATTAAATGAAAGTAAAATTTAAATAAAAAAAATTGCATTAAACTTAAAATTTGTTAGACACAGACATGGTGTATATATAGAGAGAGACTAAATGAACTGGTTTTATTGTAAAGAGTCTAGGATAAGCCCAGGCCCAGTGTTTAAATAATAAATGAGCTTTGGCCCAAATGCATCAGTAACAAGAAGCATAGAATGAAATATAAAAATAAAATAAAATAAAAAGGAATTGAGATATGGAGCTGATAGATGCAACCTTGTTAAAATAAGGAGAAGGACTGAACCGAAGTGTGATGTGATTCCACTATAATTTCATTTTGTTTAAAATTAGAGTGCAGGCAGCACCAAACCCTATTAAAGGGCTATTTGGAGTGATTTTTACTTTTTAGTTGCATGTTTTAAAAATTATAATTAATTTTAGTTTTTTAAAATTATTTTTTTAAGGTTTTCAAGTTCTAAAATTAATTAATTTGTTTTGAAAGTTCTTATCATACTAAAATTAATTTAAAAAGTGTTTTGTGTGGTAATAACAATTATGATAACAGTAGTGATTACTATAGCACTATAATAACAACAATGATAATAATAATATTATTAAAAATAGTAATGATAACATTGTCAAAAGAGTGATAATGGTATCAATAGTGGTAAAAATGTTATTATTAATAGTGATAACGACAATAACAACTATGAAAGTCATTGTGGTAATAATGGTAATAACAAGGAACAATTGTTAAAATTAGAAGGTGTGTTTTTTAAAATTAAAAATCAATTTCACAAATCATTTCTTTTTGTTTTAAAAATGAATGTAAAATGCTTTGAAATTGAATTAAAAATTGTTTCAACACCATTTTAACCAAATGAATTTTATTTTAAAAATTGCATTTGAAAACCAAAATCAAAAACCCATAACCACCCCCACCCCCAAAGATTTGATTTTTAAAATCTATTAAAAGAAATAAATGTTGTTCATTTAAAAAATGGTTCTATTTTTTTTTGTTTAACATATATAGTGTGGTTTAATGTTACTTTAGTTTGGTTCTAATGGTTTTTTTCTAACCTTCATCGGGCAATGATTCAAACATATGCGTAGTTTATGATTTAATGTGCATGTTTCTTTTCTCTAAATATGATTTCAAACATGCAATTATACTTAGATCTATTCAGGAAAGAATTTGTATTAAATTTTTACAAGAAAAAACATTTTACTAAATATTAATAATAAAAAAATAGATCATGGATGCGATGCACGAATAAATAAATTATTGATCCATAAACAATTATATAAAATCGTATGATAATTACCCATTGGTTCAAACTTGTCTCAAACTAAATACTTGTATAAGCACCTATTTCATCAAATTGCAAGTGATCCTTCATTTCTTCAAGTAGCATGCATAAACAACCTATAGAACATAAATGAATTTCCTTTGATCGCAATAACTTAGGATAAAATTTTGTATACTTCAAGTAGGTGTTTTATTCTTATTGTTAAGCATAATATATTTTGTAGATGATTTATTTGATAAGGAGACAATTGTGCGAAAATAAGATCTTTCCTAATTAATAAGAAGACTCTCTCATTAATTAGAGAAAAATCACCATATTTTTAAGATATTAAATGATGATTATTAAGAAGTATAATTTTTTAATCATTGAAAAATAACTATCTAGGATTTGACCTAATGGATCTGGCCTAAAGAGCCATGGTGGACGTAAAGGTTAGCTTGACACAAGTACTAATACAAGAAAAATAACAATAACATATAAATTATATTTATTATTTCTAAAGAATCACTGTATATCCACTATAATTGAGAAGAAGAAAAAAAAGTCTACATAAAATCTTAGATTTGAAACTTATAACTATCATCGTATTAAACAAAAATCGTTATACATATAATTATGAATTAATCCCGATCCGAACGATCGACAACAATTAGTAGAATTACTCAGGAGACTTTTACGAAGTTAGCATCATATGTTATATTAAAAACTGGTTGGGTTCATGTGCCATTGTCTTAAGCCATCTTTTCAACTAAGAAACCACTTGCATGCTTACCCAGCTGTATCACTAGACCTGGCATTCACATTATGATACACTACTTATTATAAAGGCAACAATAAGATAACCTCAAAATCGCTCTAACCCACATATACTTTAGTTTCAACAAGCTTAACAAGTAATTACAAGTTACAACCTTAATATATGAATGGATCGGTTTGATGTATATATATCGATCATTGTGATTCATATACAACAGTGTCACTCATGCACACCCAAAATTGAAAACTATGGTCACATACTATGCTCTATATCTTCCAATATTGTGTGTATATATATAAAACAAAAAACCCCATCCAAAACGCAAACCTTGTTACCTAACCTTATGACTATCTTGAACATAATGATAATAATAATTATTACTATAGTGGGAAAACAAATTATATGTACTGATCCCGTTACTCCTCACAGCATGGCCAAGCCTCTTCCACCAACACCTCCTCTTCTTGACAGTAGTCACGTGGGACTTGTTTCTCTTGAGAACCAATCCCTTAACTTCCGGTGGCCGGTAAGTCCTAATCAAAGGCCACTTAATCCCATAGAAAAACGCGTGTCGTTTAACATCAGTGGCACCCTTAAGAGACCCAAGCCTTCTCCTAGGGTCCTTCACGAGCAACTTCTCAATCAAATCCCTAGCCTCACCCATCCCCGCCTCCTCCCGTTCCGCCACGTGGCGGAACCTCACGCCTTCGCTCGACGCGATGTTCCTCAGCGTCCCCTCCTTGCTGCACCCCTTAAACGGCGTCGTCCCGTACAACAACTCGTGGATGAAAACCCCCAAAGCCCACCAGTCCACGCCGTTACCGTGTCCGTTACCCGAAACCAGCTCGGGCGCCAGATACTCGTGCGTCCCCACGCACGACCGTGAAAACGCCGTCACCGGCTCGGCAACGAACTCCGCGAGGAAAGTGCTTGCTCTGTCGGTTTTTCTGTTGTAACTGAAACAACCGTTTGTGGGGCCGGGTTTGTTACGCGTGTGGGCCCGGAGGGAGAACGAGGGTGCCACGTCGGATTTGAAGCATAAATCGAAATCTGAGAGCATTACGTGGCCGTCTTCGCGTAGGAGCACGTTCTCGGGTTTGAGGTCGCGGTAGACGATGCCGAGCGCGTGGAGGTACTCGAGGGCGAGGAGGACCTCGGCGGCGAAGAAACGCGCCGCCGCGAGGGGGAGGCGGTGGTGAGGCTGTTTGCGGAGGAGGGAGTGGAGGTCGCCGCCGGGGCAGTAGTCGATGAGGAGGCACGTGTAGTGCGAGACGTCGATGCGCGCGTAGAGAGTAGGGAGGAAGGGGTGGTCGAGCGCGTGGAGGATTTCCGCTTCGGTTTCCGCGTGCGAGAGTTTTTTGGGGGAGAGAAGGTCCTTGTCGACGACCTTGAGGGCGAAGGTGGCGGCGGCGGCGTCGCAGTCGCGGAGGCGGCAGAGGAAGACGCGGCCGAGGTTGCCGGAGCCGAGGTGGCGGAGGAGCTTGAGGTGGCGGAGGTGGAGGCGGCCGTCGGAGGAGAGCGTGGTGGCGGCCTGGATGGCGGACCAGAGGGGGTCGGAGGAGCGGTGGGGGCGGCGGTTGAGGGAGGCGGAGGAGGATTCGGCGGCGGTGGAGACGGTGGAGAGGCGGTCGTTGAAGCTGAGGGTGAGGCTGCTGGTGCGGGCGAGGCTGGTGCGGGCGCTGGTGGTGGTGGTGGTGCGGTCGGTGGCGGTGCTGGTGAAGCTGAGGTCGAGGTCTGTGTCTGGGAAGAGCAATGTGGGTTCGTCCATGGCTTGGTGTGTGGTTTTGGGTTGAGACATGGACGTTGGGGTTTTGTATTTAAAAGGATGGGAAGGTGGGTCCGAAGGTTCAAGAAGTTGACCCACAACTGGAGCATCTGGGACATGGGGCATGGACATCGACAGTCCACAGATGCAGGCAGGCAGAGGTTAGGTTGACCAACTGGACTTTCCATATATTTTATCCTTCTTGTTATTATATCATCATGCAAGTTTCAATTATTATTAGCTTGATTTATTGGGAGAGAGTGAAAATTTATGTGACCTAGCTATAGGGTTCGTATCTTATCCAACAAGTAACATTCAATTTCATCTCTAAAGTCTAAACTAATACTCTCATCTAAATAAACTAACAAAATTATATAAATAATATCTTGAATATTACAAATCATAATAAATGGTGTTAAAAGATTGTCTATAAATAAAAAATATATCTTATAAATCAATTTTGTAGAATTGAGTTAAATTTAAATATACTTTTTTAATTAGATATCAGAATTTATTTTAATAATTATTGTTAAACTTATTAGACTGAATTGAATCACTTACAAATATTCAATTGTATAAGTTTTATATTAAGTAATTCAATTTTTAATGTAAAAAAATGTTTTATAAAAATTTTACATCAACTAAAAAGATAACCAATTCATAATTGTATATAAATTAAAAGAAATAATCTTTACTTTATATTGGATTTTTTTTTAAGTTTACTTAGATTCAATTTCTTAATAAACTACTTTTTAGATTTGAAAGGTTTATTAAATTGGTTCTGAACATTAGTAAAATATACTAATTTAGGTACTAAATATGTGAGAAACTAATACTTTAGCGATTAAATTGATGGTGTGAATGAAAAAATGGAGTGGTGATTAATGGAATCTTGGGGAACAAAGTAACGGCTGGGAGTGGCTTGGCTTGTTTGTTTCTAACGTTGATGGTGTTGAGTCGGTGATAGTGACGCAGGGTTCGTGGATAGATACATGCAGGTAATTGAGTAATGAGTAGTAATTAATTGTGTTGGTTCGTTGGGAAATGGAAATGTGGATTTTTGCATGGTTTAATTTGATGCTATATTGCGAGAGGTAGCTAGGTATCTAGGTGCAGGCCATTTGGCAAACCAAGACTTCGTTACCAGAAAATAGGGACGGTGCTGTATAGTTGCATAGGATCGGGGTGCAGTCCTACGTAATTATATATACTATATTACAGTCTTGGGGAAGATCGATGAATACTACTAATAGTTAGCTAGAACAGATCAGGAGTTGGTATCATGTTGGAGGTGGTATCTTGTTAACTATAGTGAATACCACTTTAAGATTGGACTCAATTGTGATATTTTACTTCCACTAGAACATGACATTTGATCCAGTCCTCATTCTTTTCCTTTTTCGTTTCGGTATTCAGACATTCTTTTCTTTAAGGAGTTCTTACATCTTATCATATAATTTTGGTGAAATAGTTCATAATTGTCAATATAATATATATAGGAAGGTGACTAGGGTAATGCATGCACTAAGCTCAAATTATGATACCCTTGTTTGACTTTATTTATTTATTCATACCCATTAATCCTTTTTTATTTTATGAAAAACATCTGTTAGTTAATATATAATTTGTAAAGTACTAATTGAGCATCAATAAGTTAAGTTAAATACTATCTACAGTAGGTTTATCTAGCTGGTAAACAAAACCATTGAAACTTGTAACCAAACATCATTAAAGTAAAGCCTGTGTATTACTAAACTATCCTAATCCATATCCTTCAATTGTAGAACCTTGCTTTTATGATCGAAATACTATGATCATAATTACCAATAAATGAGAGAGGAAAATGGGTGGCGATTATGGTCCCATGTGACATGATGGTGGGGTAATATGAAAGCGTTGAAGCTCTTAAGGGGTTGGGACCTACCTGGGAGGAAAGGGGTTAGTGATGCTGTCTGCCACGTGGTCAACATTGGCCCTACATTGTCGCCTACACAATTCATTATTCCATTTTTCCCCATTTCTTAATGAATTGAATTACTAAGAGCAAGCTATAATTCAGAGTTCATTAATTAATATTGGGCTTTAACTTCCTTAGGTAGTACAAGTATTTAGTGCGGCTTAAATAATAATGGAGGCTACACCAAAATTATGAACCTCCATAACCCTCGTGATAAGAGAGATCCAACTGCTCTTCTTTAATGAGGAAATGTTAAATTTAAGAAAGTGTTAATATTCAATTCATAAAAATAGTGAAGGGGGGATGGGTGATGTTCCCTTGCTCTTACTCACTACCACACTTTAGTCAACTCCAGTTTTTTTTTTTTTAGGGGATCTGATCCCCATCCCCTCCAAAATTGACTAGATAAATGAATTGTTTATACAATTTATTTACATTGTATCTGGATTTTATGGAAGTGGTGTTAAATAGTATCCCACCTCACCTATATAAAATAAAATATATAAAAAAAAGTAATTAAATAGGAGTATTTGTACATATATCACATTTTGCTTTACATTCCAATATATTCATGCTAACTTTCTTACCAACTTTGTAAAGTTTACTTCTTTTTTCATTATGTGAAATCGAACCTAATAACAAGAGGTAGTATACTGATCAACCAATAAAGTTAGATTCTCTTGGTTGTAGGGCTTATTTCTTTAAACAACGATTAATTTGTTTCATTTTTACGCAATTACTTCATGTACGTGGAAGAAAAAAAATATTCAATGCCATGTTAAAATTTTTTCTTTCACATTTTCAAGTAAACAACGAATACTTGATTATAATGAATAGTTTTAAAAAATATGAATATCTGGATGGTATTAATTTTGTTATAAAAATAAGCCTTTGAGTTTTGAAATATCGTATTACGAAGCTAATTTGTTGCCCTTTCTTTAATTCTTTCACACAGTCTTTTAATTTTAATATAACATCGGATTCTTGTTTTACAAATCAAGTCTTCCGAATGCTAAGAATAATATCTCTTCAATTCTGAGTCATATCACACTCAATATTTGTATAGACATATAACATTGCAAAAACTACGTTCTTAACCATGTGCATATGGCACGCCCGTATATATAGTTTATTTATGAAAGATGCATATTAATAAATAAATAAAAAATTAAAGGGGAAAAAAAAAAAAAAAAAAAAAAAACATGAGCAGAAAGACAGACACAATTGATAATGCATATTCCTGAAACCCTCTCCTAATCTTACCATACGTCACAAAAGCACGTGTCAATTCAACAATCCCATGAAGATCCTGAGGCTTGTTGGCTTCATCGATCTAAATGGACATTGCACAGTGTGTCCGCATGAATCACATCATGAGAGTTTGGCTAATGCATGTCTTTTGAACTCTTAAAATGGCCCATTATCAAATGAATGAAATTTGATCAATAGAAACATTTAATGACATAGAATCAGTGCTGTTACAGCGAACTAATTTTCAAACTATATGGATGCCTAGCGTTATCTTCATTAATTTCTGATGGCATGGAGTAGTTGATAACTTAGGTGATGTAGTTGGCTATAATATAAATATTCAAATATTCAATCCAAGTGGTGAACACTCTAATTGAAAAGGTTTAGACATTTCATAAACCTTGGCATATGCTATATTTCATAAAGTAAGCTCAGCCGACTCAACAGCTATATTGCTTGTTTTAATTAAAACAACAATTTGGACACATTTCATACACGTCTAACTTGGTACACGTAACATCATGTTACATGTTGCTTTGTGATGGATGAGGGAATAGACCTTGTATCCTTCATTTTTCAAAGAGAAAATAATATTTTCCTTGCATTACATAAGACAGAATGGTATACTTATCAGACAAGCTATACCCCATATAGTAAAATACAAGAGAAAAATAAATTGTTTCAGTCGATATATAGAGAGAGTTAGCTATCAGTAAAGCATTTAAGTGACTACTTAACTTTAGAATTAAAAGACCTAAATATTTTTATTCAAGCAGTTACAAATTTACATTATAGCTAGTGAGAATAGACAGATATATACTTTCATTTTAATTGAATTATTAATATATTTAAAAATATTATATTTTGCACTCCTAATTTTATATATTAAATTTACTGATTATTATTTTTTATATTTATGTTGTGTTATATATATATATATATATATATATATATATATATATGATAATAATTATTAATTTTTATTTAAAAGAAAAAAAAAAACCCCATTAAACTAGGGTCTTAGATCCACACTGCGTCTAAACCTCCCCTTATATCTAAAGGCTAGATCATTTTCTTTTCTGGATACAATTTCTATCTACCATCCTACCAAAAAATGCTTAATAACTGTCCACCCTCACGATGTTATAGCTAGTGTGAGATGCTAACTTCTAAAACATTAGGGTGTAATAAGTGTGTGGGTCAGAAAGTAAGAATAAACAAGTCGGTCAGTCAGTGACCTAGAAACAATAAAAGGTTATGATCTAGGAGGACACTACTAAAATTTTTCTTATTACATGCGATTTTTTTTTGAATTTTTATGAAAAATTTGCAAGAAACGTTGTTCTTACAAATTTTTCTGCGAAATTTTATCTGCAAGTAATACCTTCGTGGATAATATATTTTTGCGAATTTTAAAATTTGCTGGAAATTTTATAGCAAAATTTCTTGCGAAAAAATTCGCAGGAAAGTTTCCTACAAAAAAAAATCGCAGGAAAATTCGCAAAAAAGTTTCCTGCGAATTTTTTTGCAAGAAATTCTGCAGGAATATTTTTTACGAAAAAAAATAAAGAAATTACTATAAATTCACTCAATAATTTTTCAACTTTCAAATGCTCATAATGAATTCATCCGAAGCATTTGTTTCCATGCCTCAAACATGTGATACATAATCTTTGAAATTCTAAGATTGTAGATTATAAGTCTAACACTCAACCATACAAATCAACTTGTAAGGTAAATATTGTCCTAACTTATATATACTCTTTAATTATTTTATTTTTAATCGATGTAGGACTTG